GATTGGAACCAGCACCAGCAGTGGGTAAGAGTGGCAGCTGCTGCCCCGATAGCTCCTCAGGAGCAGGGGGAGGTGGAGAAGCCTTCAGGGGCGATCGGAGCCAGTAGCTACCACTTGCACCTGCTGACAGCATCAAGTGATGGGGGCTGGTACCAGCAGCAGGTGCAAGCACCTGGAGGGACCACAGCTCAGTGCGCAGGAGCAAAGAATTTTCAGTAACCACCAGAAGTTCACCAGAGTGCTATCTTGGTCTGGCGCCCCCATTCACTGCTCCACCACCCCACCACAGCCTATGCCTGCCATGTTCCACACACGCACCCTGATGGTCAGCACACATCATAGCGACCAGTTTTTCGGTTGTCCCGCCATTTGGTTTATCTGCATATTAGCCTTTTATTATATAGGATGCTATAGTTATTCCCAACTTCATACCTTTGTGCTTTTCACCTCTGCCTTTTCTCTTCCCTCCATATAATTCTACTTCAGTATCTGCATTTCCTTCTTTAAGCTTTCTTAATCTTTACTTCCTAACTTTACAAGTTGTCTGTAATTACTAAGTATTTCTGTAGTGTCCACTGTGTAACTAGTATCTATAAGAATTGTGTCTACCATGCTACTGCTGAAAATGTAGTTGTGAAGAGCACAGATATAGTCCTTATTCGCATGAACATTACAATCTAAGAGAATAGACAGGTAAAATAGCTGCTTCCAGTTATGATAAAGAAAATGCCATACTTCGAAAATAAGGTACATGGGCAATTTACCTAGTTTTGAAGGAAAAAGACTTGTCTGAGGAAGTGACAAGCTTTAAAAGGGTAAAAAGAAATCCACTTAACTAATGCAAAGGCAGAAGGAAAGGCAAAGACTAGGGACCAAGAAACAGCTTGCAATGGGGAGAATTTGATAAATTTAAAATGATGAGAAAGGCTCATGCAAATGCAATGTAATTAAAGGAGATAAATGGCTGTAAAATATGAGACAAGGCAGACATGAAAATCTACTAAGGCCCAACTGAAGATTTTAGAACTTTGGGAAGCCATTAGAAATTATAAAATGGAAGCATGACAAGATCAGATTTCCATTTTAAAAGACTTTTTGCTGCATAATACTGAGAAAGAGTCTAGCTAAGTTACTACAATTTTGGTGAAAAACAAAAGACAAAAACCTTTGTAAGGTGTCTTTATCAAAGTCCTTTCATTTTACAATAAAGTTACAAATATTTATAGCTGAGTTCTACAATCCTTGTAGACCACTAACAGCCATTAAAAATTAAATCTCTTTTTCTGATCCTAGCCCTGACTTAGTATAAGGTCTATTGCCCATCAGTAGATGAATGGACTAAAAAACTGTGGTATCTATATATATAAAAGCCTAAGCCACCGTGTAACTGTCCGACAGTTATGACATGCAATGACCACTGGGGGCAGATGCTCAATGCAGATGCTGGCCCCTGGTGGTCAGTGTGCTCCCACACAGAAGTGCCACTCAGCCAGAAACTAGGCTCTTGGCTGGTGAGCACAGCTGGGGAGGCAGGAGCCTCTCCTGCCTCTGTGGCAGCACTACCAGGCGGCAGCGACAGGTGCAGCGGGGCCAGGATGAAACTGGTCCCGGCTGGGGCTCCTCCCTGATGCCTGCTGCTCCAGCTTTGTGATATCCTGCAGCCTGCAGCCTGCAGGGATCAGGCCAAAACCTAACAGTCCAACATTCCCACAAGGGATTCTGGATTTCGAGAAGGCACAGGCCAGGCTAAGGGACCCCACCAGTGCACAAATCTGTGCACTGGGCCTCTAGTGTTTACATAACGAAATACTATGCAGCTGTAAAAAAGGATTTCTTACCCTTTGAGACAGCATGGGAACTTGGGAGAGTATTATGCTAAGTGAAATAAGCCAGTCAGAGAAAGACAAGTATCACATGATCTCACTTATACGTGGAATCCAATGAACAATATAAACCGATGAAAAACAGAAAAGATTCAGAGGGAAGTGGGGGGGAGGGGGATTAACTAATGAATTTATATGTATATACGTATAGCCCATGGACAGAAAATAGTATGGAGAAGGCCTGGGGAGGGGATGGGAACAGGGGGGAGGTGGTCCCTGGGGGAAGGGACATCTGTAATACTTTCAACAATAAAGATAGATTAAAAAAATTAAATCACTGTTAGCTAATACTGATGGGAGGGAAGGAGTAATACAATGAGAAGAACTACTACATCCTGAAGGAGGGTAGTCAGATTCCAAAAGTTTTGACCACTTCAGTCTGGCTCTCATGGATAGATTTAAATATAAGTGAAATCCCATATTACCAGAATTACAAATAATAATGATGTTTGAGTAAGTCAGCCCAGCCTCTTGGGCAAACTAATTTTATTTCTGAAAATGTGAGCAAAAGGCAAGATTATAAAATTACTGCATTTAGGACTTTTTCAGTTCACTGTATGGTCAATTATAGTATAAGTATCAATATTCTTTCCTTTGTACCTGTGCACAAATCTGGGCACTGAGTCTCTAGACAACATGGAAAATATCTATGGAAAATATGCCAAGTTTTACAGTGACCACAATAGTTCAACTTCACATATTTTAGAACTGATTGTCATAGACCCACTTATGGCACGATAGCAGGGATTTTATGTAAGTTTAAAGTTCTAATGGATAAGACAGTATCTGTCACCTTTAAAAAACACACACCCACACACTAAAATACATTGGTATTGATTATTTTAGAGAGATAGGAACAGAATAGATAGAAACATCTATGAGAGAGAAACATCAATTGGCTGCCTCCTGCATGCTCCCTACTGAGGATCGAGCCAGAAACCGGGGTATAAGCCCTGCCTGGGAATGGAACTGGTGACCTCTTGGATAATACCGGTAGGTCCATGCCCAACCACTGACTGGCCGGGCAGTGTCTGTCACATTTAACAAATGTTCATCCACTGCCAGCCTGGGACCTTTTTTTCTACCTTTTGGTTTGTGGACAAACCATGTGTAGAGAGAAGAGCAGTATTCTCTAATCCACCCCTTCTCTCCTCCAATTTTTCTTTTTAATCTAGTCTTTCTTCATTTTTTATGTTCTTCCATTCTCTATAATCTTAATTTTACACGAAGTTTTCTCAGTAAAAATCCTGATGTAAACAATGCAAACTATCAGTTCTCATTTTCACATAAGTAGTTCCCCCAGAGATAAAATGTGAGTATTCTATTCAAGTGGGATCCTATGGCCTTATAGTGAAGGAACCAAATCACTGCTAAAATAAGAGAATTCACTAGAAGTGAGGCTTCATTGTCTCCAACCTGTTCAAAAAACACATTGGCTTTCAAGCAAAGATATTATGATGTCAGATACATGAAGTTGCTATGTACATAAATCCACTTACAAAGTAAAGCGCATAAGCTGTAACTCAAGAAGGATGGGAAAATGGGATGACTATGGTGTTAAGAACAAAATTCTACTTTTCAGAAAAACAGAAAGGCAAATATTTTGTAAATAAAACCTTTAGATGAAAAGGCTCTAAAAACATAGGTAATTCTTTGAAAAGGAAAGCAGCAGCTGGTGCAGTAAAAGCCAGAAGTCTTATTGCAAGTCTTATTGCAAGGAGCTAGAGACTGGCAGTCAGGCAGACACTGTTTAGTAACAATCCCATGAGGTTATGTTTTCAGAGATGTGAGTATCCCCTGGAAAATTCAAAAAGCAATGTTTAACACCCATCACACATTCATATTGGTGAAAGCGAACAATATGAAGACAAAGACGTTTCCAAGTGGGATGACCTCTTCTAATACACAAAAATGATAGAGTCAGGACACTTATCTCTGCAAGTCAATGAATACAGCAACAAATAAAGAGAACAAAATATGATTATAGCAACAGATGCCAAAAATCATTTGAGAAAATAATACTAATGACATATTTAAGGGGAAAAAATAACGGAAATGAAAGCTAAAAAAAAAAACAACAAAAAAAAAACCAGTATCTTTCAACGATCACCTTTTTACATGGTTACCTTAAATTTAAATACGCCCATTACAACCCTAGGACCGTGGTTGGCAAACTGTGGCTTGCGAGCCACATGCAGCTCTTTGGCCCCTTGAGTGTGGCTCTTTCACAAAATACCACGGCCTAAGCGAGTCTATTTAGAAGAAGTGGCTTTAGAAGAAGTTAAAAAACTGGCTCTCAAAAGAAATGTCAATCCACATACTGTTGATATTTGGCTCTGTTGACTAATGAGTTTGCTAACCACTGCCCTAGTTACGAGGTAACCCCATGTTACAGAAAAGCAGCAGCAGCCGAAACTGGTTTGGCTCAGGCAACAGAGTGTCAGACTGCAGACTAAAAGGTCCCAGTTGGATTCCGGTCAAGGGCATGTGCCTTGGTTGCGGGCACATCTCCAGTGTGCAAGAGGCAACTGATGGATGTATGTTTCTAACTCTCCATCCCTCTCACTTCCTCTCTGTAAAAAAAAAAACCTCAATAAAATATATATTTAAAAAAGAAAAGAAAAAAAGAAGCAGGCTCAAAGGCAGCGGGTCCAAGCTCACCGCGGGAGGCGGGAAGCGGTGGGGGCCCCCATTTGAGGGGAGAAGTTAACGCCAACACGCGTTTCCCGCCGTCCGCTCCCCGCGTGGCTCTAACCCGGTGGGCGCGGGAAAGCCTGGGGGCGGGGACCGGCGCAGGAGGAAGAGGGCCCGCGGCCCGGGCGGAGGGGGCGCGGCGCGCGGGGCGGCCGGGGGCGCACAGGGGCCCGCGCGGCAGGGGCCCCGCGCGCGTCGCACTGACGCCGCGCCCGCGCCCAACTCCGCCGGGCGAAGGCAGCTGTCCAGGGATGGGGCCCTCCGCCCGGCGGTCCCGGCGGCGGCGCCCTGGGGAGGCCCTCCGAGGATGCCGCGGGGCGCGGGGAGTGAGTGGACCAAAAGGCCTCCCAGGCTCACCCCCGCCAGGGGACGCGGGCTTTGGGGGACGGAAGCGAGGTACACGGGGCTGAAACGGGCACTCACCGTCCATGGTCTCCCTCACCGCATTCAGATTCGCCGCCGCCGCCGCCGCCGCCGCCGCGGCCCCGGTGCCGCTACTGCTCGCCATGGCGGAGGCCGAGGGAGGCGGCGGGGGGTGGGAGGGAGGAGAGGGGTCGGGTCTGACCCGGAAGTGGAGCACCTTCCTTTCAGCCGGGCAATCGCGCCGCGCGTCCCCCGCGCCCGCCGGCGGCTCCGCCCCCCGCGCCCGCCGCCGCCCCGCCGCCGCCGCCGCCGCCGCCGGCGAGAGGCCGAGTGGATTTGAATTTGGAGCGTCGTTACTCGGCGCGGAACGTGGAGCGTGGAGCAGCGATTCGAATTCACTGCGCCGCCTCGACGCGATTGGCCGGTTCGCGGGCAGCGGCGCGACGCGATTGGCCGGCCTTCCGCAAGCCCCGCGCCTGGTTGGCCTGTGACAGCGCGGACACGGGGAGTTAAAGAGTCCGTGCCTGTTGCGGGGAGCGGAGGCCTGGCCCTCGGCAGCGCTGGAGTCGCCTTTCGGGGGGGACTTCCTCGTTACACACTCCGTTAGGTACGTGCTTGGTGGCGCCTGGCTCCTCTCCTTTCTCCGCCCGGGGAGCTCGCTGTGCCCGGCGGCGGCCCCGCCCGCTCTGCCCCCGGGAGCTATGCGAGCGGCGAGGGGAGTCTGAATGGAGGGACTCCCAGGAAGGATGGTGGCGTGGCGTGGAGGTGACAGGTGTGAGTGCCCTCTGCTCGTCACCCGAGGAGCCAGCTGCGCCTCTGTAAGGCCTGAAAGACCCCCGGTCCAAAGGATGAGCGGCGACCCCAAATCAAACGCAGAGCCCGAGTCTTGATGCAAAGAGCAGGAGGTTATTCCAAGCGCTGCGCAGGGACCCACAAGCAGCAGTCCAGAAAAAGACTGCCGCTTGAGAGCCCTGAACAGAGGTTAGTTACAAGCTTTTATAGGCAGAAACCACACCCAGGTGGCCTGGGGAAATTGGCCTGGGGAAATGCAAACATAAGGTTGAGATTGCAATCTCTTGGCCGTTTCCAGGGCAGTTAGAAACAGGCCTGACCTTACATTCCCTCCTCTTCTCAGGACTGAGTTTCAACCCTGGAACTCATATTCTGTTTCCCCTTGCCCAGTTGCGATACAGGGCCCGAGGGTTAGAAGTAATCAAAGGCCCCATGAGGTGGAGATTAGGGTGGTGAGCCACGGGGAACGATTAAACCAATTTTCAAACCACCCCTGTTGAGCTTCTCTATCTCTTTGCCTCCTGTCTAGTCTCTCTCTCAGTTTGGCCATAGAGTCCTTCACCATGCCTGAATGATCTATAAAAACAACACTCCTCTTTCAAAGCTGCACACAGGCCACCGTCCTTACTACCTCAGACAGCGAGGTCAGGGATAGTGATGGACTGTTCAATGGCTCGTATTGCCACTCTGAGCCCTTCTATACTGTGGGGTTTGGATTAAAGCTGCTGTCCCAGTCCCCACCCCGGCGGTTACCCCTAGCCCCAGCAAGACAGCTAGGGTTATTGAAACCAGCTCTTACAAAAGAAAACCTCAGCCCCTCCACACCGCCGGGCCTCACTCCTTGTTCTCCTCAGCCTTCCAAGAAGTGGGCTCCTCTTTTCCTCTCTCGGTAGCTCGCTTTGCCTGGCCCCGGAGTAATGCAGTCCCATGTCTCCTACCCTTGGGGCTGTTGGCGAAAGGAGGGCGAGGGGACCCCCGGAGGCGGTCAGCTTCCTGTCTCTCCTCAGTCCTGCTGCTCTGGCGGCGCTAATTTTGCCAGAAAGGCACACCTGCACAAGCTCTGTCGCCTCTTGCTTGCTGTAAATAATTACTGTTTAGTCACGGCAGCATGATGGGGGGGGGGGGGGGGGATTGCTGGGGTATCCGAAAGATGGTCAGCGGGTTTAGAGACCTGATTATAATGGTATAAGGCCTCTGACTATAGGTGTAAGGTCTCCAGTTGGGAGGAATTTTTTTGTGCCTGTTGATAATATCTGAAAGCAGACCTGAACTCACTCACATTTGGTTAACTATTCCTTAGATGCCATTTAAATTTCTCTGAGCTTTAGTTCCATAAAATGATTTTATTAATATCCTACTTATCTAGTTTTCAAAGTTATCTATTTATTGGGAGGGTCACTTGAGAAAATGTATGTGATGCATTTTGGTAAACTATCAATATATAGACTGGCTCCAACAGCATCAGATGTTCAGTTAATTTTGAGAACTGTTCGTGGAATACGTTTTAATGATCAAAATGAATGTCTGTGGAACTCTGCAGTTCTATTGTATGTACTTCTGATTTCTTTTTAGTTTCCTTCTCTGTGCTATGGGAGATGTCAAAGAACCAAAAATGCAAATAACGCCGGAAACCCCAGGAAGGATCCCTATTTTAAATCCTTTTGAAAGTCCTGGTGATTATTGTAATCTCCATGAACAAACTGTCTCCAGTCCTGTTTTTAAATCAACTAAATTACCAGTAAGTTATTGTTGACTAGTGTTCACAAATAATTTTACTTATTTATTTAAAAATACATCTTTATTGATTTCAGAGAGGAAAGGAGAGGGGAGAGAGAGAGAAACATTGATGATGAGAGAGAATCATTGACCTGCTGCATGGCCCCCACTTGGGATGGAGCCCGCAGCCCAGGACCTGAATGGAACCCTGTCCTTTCCGTCTGCAGCCTGATGCTCTATCCACTGAGCCAAACCGGCTAGGGCTACCACTAATTTTAAACAAAAATATCTCTCTTTACAAAGTAAGGGGAAATTTACCATGGAGCATATATTACTGGGAATGTGCTTTTTAAATTGTAACATTCATTATAATCTAGTGTTTGAGCTAAAAATAACTTAGCTAGGAGTTTCTAAAGTTATCATTTCTCTCTCTTTTAAAAATAAATAAATGACATGTTAGCTTTTGTGCTATCTATAGTTAGTAATATATAAATATAGATACCATATTTGAGAAGAAGCTGTGAATTATCCTCTCTCCTCTATTCAGCAAACATTATTTGAAGGCTGCTATATGTCAGATACAGTGCTAGGCATAGAGATTACACTGCAAACAAGTCAGGGTCATTAGACACAAACTCCAAAGGAAATGTACTCTAATGCAGGGGTCAGCAAACTTTTTCCTAAAACAGTAAATATTTTGGCTTTGCTGATCATCTGGTAATTGTAACAACTGCTCACCTATGCCATGTATCACAAAAGTGGTCATAGGCAATATATAAACATATAAATAATAAAGCTTTATTTATGGGCACTGAAACTTGAATTTCATGTAATTTCCATCTAATACTTACTAATATTCTTTGGGGTTGTTGTCAGCCATTTCATAGCTTGCAGATTATATTACGGGATAGACACAACTAAAATAGCAACTCGAAAAGAATATATGTGCTGACTATGGTTAAGCACAAGGGTGATGTGGAAGGAAACGTGCTCTCCTGGGGATTAAGGAATGCTTACTCACTTTAGCCTATATTACTGTTAACTGGCTATTCTGGAGTATTTCTTTTGAAGTCTGATCTTCAAATCTAATAAATTATCTAGAAAACTGCAAATTATAATATGTGGCTGTTTATGCTACTTGTTCATATCAGCTTGAAGCAGGTATGCAGAGGGAAGTTTTATTTATACAGTATATATTGATTCATTATTCTGACTGCATCTTAATTGAATCATACCCGGTGCACAAAATTCATGCGGGGGGGGGGGGGGGTGTAGTGTGGGGGGGGATTCAATTTAATTCAATTCAGTCCAGCTTGCACCCTCTCCAATCTGGGACCCCTTATTCATATTAAATATTAATTATCTGTTAGTCTTAATAAAAATAATGGAATGACTGCAACTTCATCCTAAAAGCCAGAATGTATGGTATCAGGGTTTTTAAGCCTGAATTTGTCAAAAATATATTCTAATTACAGTTTAGTCCCTAGCTAGATCATCCCAATATGCCAATGTATCAGGTTCAAGCCCCAGTCAGGGCACATACAAGAATCAACCAATGAATAAGTGTTTGGTTTAATTAGATAGTTGGATATAGAAAGAAGCACTGGTTACCATTCATAATTATTTTATGGATCAACTATTTAATGAGCTTTTGCAGGCACTTCTATGGTTAGGACTTTAATTTCAATTCATTCTTTTTTTTTTTTTTTTTTTTTTTTTAAGGATGCTCTAGTCATCTCTTATTTTTTTTTTTTTACTTTTTTATTAAATTATTATCTGTGTACATATTTTAACTTTGCCCCCCCCCCCCCAATTCATTCTTATTGAAAGTAAAGACCATAGGTAACTAAGATTTTTACTTTTATTTGGACATCACTGATGAGTGCTAATTGTACATTTTCTATAGCTGTAATATTCTACTATAAATTTCTTATTATTATGTAATTTTAAAAAACACCCACAGGGCCGAAACCGGTTTGGCTCAGTGGTAGAGCGTTGGTCTGCGGACTGAAAGGTCCCAGGTTCTGTTCCGGTCAAGGGCATGTACATTGGTTGCGGGCACATCCTCGGTAGGGGGTGTGCAAGAGGCAGTGGATGATGTTTCTCTCTCATCGACGTTTCTGACTCTCTCTCCCTCTCCCTTTCTCTCTGTAAAAAAATCAATTAAAAAAAAAAAAACCACCCAGAGGGAAAATTTGATATTTTAAAAGGGATACAATCAAGTCAATATTTAGTGTGATTTGATTACCACTTGTCATTTAATTTAGTGATAAACTCAAATTTAAAAACATGAGGTGATGGAAAAAAATAAATTGAAAATACATAAATACAGTAAATATAAAGTATAACCATTCTCATTTTTGAAGTTGACATTGGTTAGCATTTCGGTGCACTATTTTAGTTTGTTTTTATTCATATTCTCACTTTCTTTTATTAAGACTCCAGGGAAATTTAGATGGTCTATTGATCAACTAGCTGTAATAAATCCTGTAGAAATAGACCCAGAAGACATTCATCGTCAAGCTTTGTATTTAAGTCATTCTCGGTAAGTTTTCCTTCTTGCACTGAAGTGTAATAACATACTCTCACATGAAAAGAGAAGGAAATTTTGAAGTTGAATATTTTTATATGGAAAATTGTGATATAGATTATGTTATCTAAATGAAGAGTGAGTTCAAAGAACTATTATACATCCAGAATGATTCTCCTTCAAACAATTCAAATCTAGGTAGGAG